CTGCAATCGTGTGATATATCTCTTCCACCATAAATAGGGCTGTATTTGGGGTCCAAATGCCGACAACAGGTAATAGCTATACATAACTGTGTGTACAATAGAGTTAAGCAAACAAAACACTTCTACGATCACTGTTTGTGGACAAAGTTTTGCGACTATAAATGCCAACACAGGGACTATGGAGTAAAATTAATATAAAGATTTTTATTACAAATTTTTAAACACAATAATAAGAAATGCATGAAAAATACCCATAAAGTGATGGTAAACGTGAAGAAAAGTGATTTGATTTGACTTTTTTCTCAACACAAAGAATACGGTATCGAATAAATCAAATAACTTAGAGTAAGCGTAAACCGCTTTCTCCGGTAAATCGGCGATCGCTTTCTCTGACCACTCGTTACGGGTCGGCAGTCGTGTTAACCACGATTTGCGGCCGTAGTCTAACCACCCGATCGCCGCGTATACAAAATAAACGTTGATTACGACTAATATAAAGTTATAAATCATTATTATTTCGCGCAAAACAAACGGCTTTCGGTCTTTCATATAATTTGGGCCCAATTTTGTGACAAATAGTAACCAAAACAACATAATCGATAGGAAGAGCTCCGGACCTCCTTTTAAAAGCCGATACTCTTTGAGCCGATCGTCCGTTTCTTCGGCCCAATAGTCGTGTAAAATATATTGAATTGAATCAAAATTCATACTTTTAATTACCATTCGCTGACACAGGCTTTACTTGACGTCAATAATTTTATATACTATTGATATTTTTCGAGTATATTTATTAATTACGATATTGAAGTCCTTCGTGGTAATCAATTATATATGCCGGCTGAGTAAATGTAAAATATATTATGCAAAATTAAATAAAACTTTATAATTATAATTACATGGTAATAAATTTATTGTTGTATTATGTATTTCAAAATTTTATAAGACATAAATTTATTATTAATTTTTATTCAAATAAACATAAAATAACTTTCCTTTTATTTATATTTATTATGAACAAAATTGACAATATTTAGTTTTACGTTTATAAATGTATTTAAATAATTTATTCAAGTAAATAATTTACATATAATATTTTATTGTGGTAACTTGTTTTTACCAGTAATTTATCAGTGTAAAAGTGAACGGTTTAGGAGTAGTGCGCTATGAACAATTTTTTGCAATTGATCAAGTTTACAATTAACAATTTTATTAACTAACACTAGACAGGACATAGAATATTACAACCTTTTGTATGTTATTATAAATAATAATTAATAACATTTGAAATAAAATATTAGTATTTGTAATTAGCGTTAAATTTATATATTGATATATAAATTTAATATAATATGAGATATAATGATCGGCATATACTAGACATGCAACTTTTTCTAATTATCATTTCCCGTCCCTCCCTCTTCCCTCTTTTTGATAAGAGGGAATTCCGACCCGCTACAGGGAAGAGGGAATCCCGGAAATCACTGGACAGGAAAAGTAATTTACCTGGAATTTCATAATCTCTTAGAAGATTAATAAAATTAGATTTACTTTAAAGCCAAGAAGAGCTACATTTAGTTATTTATTAATAAAATGTATGGGAAAGACGAATAAAACTTAGTAATCCTAATAGAAATTAAAAGTTTTAAAATTATATTGTAAATTTTTATATTTAGACATCAAAAATTTTGGCCATAACTCGGGTGTCTGTGGCCATTGGCACGATTTGAATCATTGACAATTTCTGAATAGCCATTTTATAATTACACTACACATACATACATACTCGTAGTTCCCACTTGTCATAAATTCCCACTTGTAATATAAATATAATTTGTATGATGTTAATATATTAATTGATTATTTTAAAAATATTGCTACATAATACATTTATACAAAAATAAAAGAATTTAAATAACTACAGAGTTTAAAATATTTCGCTATAAGAATCCGAAATATTAATATAAAGATTAAATGATTTACTATAAAATACCATAGTGTATATTAATACTATACTTGAAATAATCATGAATTATTGCAAAATATACGTTATACTTAATTAGATTTTTTAGTCTTACAATAGGAATTGACATAAAATCTATAAAACATATAAAAGAAAATAAATGGTTGACAACCGCCGACCCATACGACTGCTATGGGATAATCATTATGATTGCCACACATTAGGCCACATATTAAACACACTATAAGTATAGCGAACTGTATTAACTGCAATCGTGTGATATATCTCTTCCACCATAAATAGGGCTGTATTTGGGGTCCAAATG